TCAAGTAACATAATAATTACGCTATTGCACCCTTAACTAAATAGAAATTAGTGCTAGCTTATTGTCTATGAGCCTATTTGAAAAATGGACGTAACCATTTCTTGAATTTGTGTCTTGTTGTGCAATAACAATAAACCACGTCCTTTAAAGGCATCGATGGTGAGTGATTTTGAGAATTCACTCATCTAAAATTTGTGCACATTAACTAGGGTATCGGTGAATATTCATTGTAAAAACCACTGCTTTAAAAAATATTCAGGGCATCACTATTTTATTGTCAATCATGCAAGTAACTAGCTAAATATCCAAGTCAGAAGTCATTATCAATGTTAATTGTGAATAATCTATTGCTAAGTCTAAGGCCAATCAATTCATACCTTTCGCCGAGCGCGAGCCTATTACAAGCGCTAATGTGAAAATATATTTGCTCTGAAGTTGAGAGGGCAGAGTTAGTAAAAGTGTTCGCGGTATTGGACGAGTTTTTCCAAGGTATGGAGGACGAGTTTTATGAGTTAAAGTCTATAAACAAACTAGAAAAAGGGTGAGTATGCTGTACAAAGAAATCATATGAAAAAAGTGCAAATGTTTGAAGATAGAATGGCCTACATCAACAATCGATGATGCAGTTTTTGGCGAAAATTTTTAAAGGTTTTTAAGAATCTCCTGACAAATTATTGCTTTAGCAATTTAGCATTCTTCGCTTCATTTCCTTTCTCATGCTTCGAATCTTTCGAGATAAACAGTATAGTCTGACCAAATATTTTTTTTCGAACAAAGCATTCGACTAATAGCGGCGAATACTCGATAATTGGCTATTCAAGAAAACGAAATTATTCAACTTCTCTAGCGGATGGCGGAAAAAGGGCATCTGTTAAATTAATCAAATAGTTGAAAATTTCGAAACAGTTATCGAATATCATTCGGATGATTTCTAAACAAAGATTCGAATATCCAATTGTTTGAAAAGCGAAATTATCGGATAAACGGGGTAATATTCGCATCCAAATGAAACATTCGAATAATTGGATTATACGCGCATTTGATGTCGAACATATGAAAAAACACGCTTATTCGATCACTTGGATGGTTTATGTCCACTTATTCGATGATTCGAATAGCCGAATATTCTGGGCCTCTGCCTTCCATATTTGCAGTCGAATGTATCCTAAAGCGGCAACTCCAGTATAATTTATTTGCTCAAGTATTTTTGTTGTGAACGTATATTCGATATTCGGTCATTCGAAATTTTTTTTTGAATGTTTTAACTACAATTGCGGTAAAATGATACTAAGCAAAACACCTTCAGATTAAGATATTAAGTCGCTTTGGTTTATTATTTTTTCGAATTATATTATAATTTCTTTTACTCGGAACAAGTCCTCAAAATCTCCGATTTGAAAAACAGATAAAAGATTGTAAAAGATTGTGTTTTTGATGGAATATGGTAAAAATTACGCTATGGGAGCCCGGAGCCCTGTGGATAGTTCGAAGAGTACCAAGTTCTCCCAACTGTAAAAATTTCTTCGATTAACGGGAAACATCGACAAGTAAAGTTGCAGTTATCCAGAATGCTATTTTTAAAGTTTTATCATCAATTTAGCTGCAAAGAATGGGAAACTTTAGAATGGCTTACTAAATAGATACAAAAGCGCTATATGAATTACTGTAACCATCAAAAAATCCCTTTAAGACCTGCAATATCTTATC